TTCACAAACGTGTGCGGCAGCGGCGGCCACCGCTCGCGGGTCAGGAGGGGGCTTGGGCCCCGCGCTGCTGCGCTCTAATGCAGCATGTAACTGGGGGTGCCCTGCCCTCCCCCCGGGTTTGAGGGACACGGGCCACTTCCTGGGGCAGCACAGGACCGGCTGGGGCAGAAACTCAGAGAGGACGGCCTCCAGCCCCAGCCCCGTCTCTGTCAGACGGGGGCAAACGAGTGGCCGGCTCCCCCTCAATTCTGGGGCCCACTCCCCACCACAGGCAAGGTGTCCCCTGACTCGACCCTGAAGCAAACTCGTGCGGCTGGGAGCTCCTCACTGGTGCCTGACCGGCTCTGGAAGCAGCGCGGGGTGGCTCTGTCCCCTCGCTGCCCTCCACGACCCGTCCCCTCCTCAGCACGGTCTCGGGGGCTGCCCCCACTGCTCCACGTGTCCCAGGCCCGGGCTTCCGGCCAGACAAGAGGCAGCACTTATGCAGCCTGCGCCCTGAGAGCCCGAAGGGGTGCGGCTCTGTCACGGGCACCTGGCACCCTGCACTACGAGCCAGCTGTGCGCCCCGGCCCTCGCCCACAGGGCCAGCCTGGTGCCTCGCCCACGGTGCACAGGATGGGCCCCATGGAGAAGTCAGTCCTGGGCACGGCCATTTGCCCCACGTGTCGCATCGGCTACACGGAGGCTGACTTAACCGACAGGCAGAGGAGAGAGGAGGAAGAAGGCCGCTGCCTGTGTGAGCGCACGCGTGCAGGGGGGGAGGGAAGCAGGCAGCCGGGAGGAAGGAGACAGGGCCCCACGGGAGTTCCTTGTTCTGGGTAACTGCCAGCAAACTGAGGTGGCCACGCATTCTCGTGCGTGGGAGGCCCACGCCCTTAATGAAACAGCGAGGCTTATGTTAAGGTCAGGTACGTGTCTCACAGGTTCATTTTAAATGCAGCAAACACCCTTGAAGGAAACTCTCAGTCCGTGACTCAAGGACACTCAACCTGCTGCGTATGATGCCATTAATCTCCCCCCTCACTCGGACCCCCTAGCTCCTGAAACAGAGTCAACACTGCCATCCGGGGTGACTGGGGACACCGGCCAGAGCTGTCACACACACCAATGTGACCCAGGGACCCAGCAGTGCTCACACTGCTAAGCAGGAGGCCTCGGGGTTCGCAGCACCGGAGGCACTTCCGAGACCACGAACCATCTGAGGACACAGCCGAAGGTGGAGTCCACGGAGACTGGCCACGGCCTGAAGCGCCACTTCTGTCACACGGGGTGGCGGGGTCAAGGAAATCCGGCATTTTACAAATGGGAACTTGCGTAAGGGGAAAATTGGAAGACGTCACACAAGGGCCCTTGATTTAATATGGAGAATTCTCCACCCGCATTCCCCCCGCATCAACCCGGCCCACTCAGCACCAGCGGCCCACCTCCACGGCGCTCCACAGCCTGACCACGCCAAGCCGTGTCTCCCTGTGCTTCACACAGCTCTCGGCCACAGCAGGGGCATTAACTTCTCATTTGGCTTCCGTCCGAACGGACACGCATTCGTTCATCCAACACACACCCAGTCCCCTCCAGGCCCCGTCCTGGGCGCGGGGCTGCTGTGCGGACAAACTCGGACCCGACAGAACCACGCTCCGCTACGAGACGCACTGAAGAAGGCTCGAGGGAGGTCTCCAGAGCACCCCAGCAGGGCCGGCCAGGCCCCCCGCACTGTGCTCATTCCCCTTCCCCGGGGCACAGGGGCGGGCGCATGGGTGCCGAGCTGCACTGTGATGCTCCCAAAGCCATGGGGCCTTCCTCAGCGCCCAGCCCGCCCTGAGGGTCCTGCCCGGGGGACCTGGGAGGAGGGGCAGAGTCCCACGCTGGGTGCGGAGCCCTCCAGACTCGGGGACACAGCAGGTGAGGCCCCGAGCAGAGCGGTCCCCCTGTGCCGGAGCCCGGGAGAGGAGGCTGACGGGGCCAGGAGGAGGTAGAAGGAACGGAGGTCGGGCCGCCCGTGCCCAGCCTCCGTGCCTGCGAGGGTACTCGGGGTGTTGAGGCCCACAGCCCCGGGGAGGGACACGGACGGCCCGCGAGAGTCACTGGGACAGAATGGGGCTAGTGGCAGGAGGAGGGACAAGCCAGGTCACGGTCGCTGGCAGAACGGACTTGGAGGGAATGTGGACGGGGGCCGGGGATCGAGGGACTGGAGAGGAACCACACGCCCAGGACAGGGCTCCAGAGCCCTCAGGGACGGAGCAGTGCTCAATTCTGGTGGCAGCGAGGGGGGCCACAGCGCTCAGCTACATCCCCCCCCACCAAGGGATGTGGGAGAGGACACGGCCTCCGAGGGTTCTGGGACCAGCCGTGCTCACACGACGGAACTCGGAAGGGGCAGAGGCAGGAAACTCTATGGGTGCCATCCAGGGTGCCCGTCCCCACCACCCCTGAGCCGGCCTAGAGCAGCCCCGTCAATGCTCAGGGTGACACTCTGTCTCGAGCCGCCTTCCTCTGCGGATTGAAAGCTGTTTGCAGGGGCAGGCGCCCATCTTTACGTCACGATGTCCGTGGTGACACGCGTCCGCACCTTTCTTTCAACAAGGTCCTCGATGGAGCGCGAGCCAGGCCACTGCCAAGGCTGGGGGCCCCGGACCCTGCCTGACCGCCACTCTGGCACGCTGTGTCTTGGGAGCTGGGACCCAGGGGACAACCCGACACCTGAGTATCGGAGGGGACACAGCGGACGCCACTGACCTCACCCGGGGCACCGTGCCAGACGCACAGGGAGGAGACGAGGTACACGCGAAGCACCCACCCTGTGCTGGGGACGGGGCGTTTGCTGCAGGATCGTCGAGGACCTCACATCACCCCTAGAGAATGACCCCATTCTCTAGGACGGACGACGCCCCCACCGCCGCCCCCTGCCGCAGGGGACCCAGCGCAGACCAGGACAGGGCGACGCTCCAAATGCTTCACCTGAAGACCTGGAAAAGCCCCCGGGAGGCTGCCCGGCCTAGCAGGGCCACCAGGGACGGCATGCGGCCCATCCCTCCCACAAAGCAGCAGGAGTGCCCCAAGCCACGGGGGTGGTGGCCAAGCGGCTCGAGGGCATCGGGTGATTAATGGGGCAGAGCACCCTGGGGTTCATCGCAGAAGAGAAACCACGCAGGGCCCGAGCCCCTAAGACTTTCCAGAAGTATCCCTAAACAACCAGCATCACACGGTCACAGATGCACCGGCGCTCACAGGCTGGAGCCAAAGCCAGGTGGCGGACTTTAGCTCAAGGCTGAGATACGACTTTTTTCTGCTTTTCAAATGGCCCCATGCCAACTGGTGTCCTTTCAGGATTCGGCCGTTCCGAATCCGCTGGACACACACAGCCCGCAAGGCACGCAAAGAATAAAGCAGCAGCAGCACGTCAAACGTGAGCCGAGCAAGGAGCTGGCTTTAGAGGCCAGGCTGCCGCCTGAGCCCCCCCGCCGCCCCACCTCCGGCCCAGGGAGCTCGCTCTCGTGGCGGCTCCGCGCCGTGACCACGGGCCGCCACG